CCCGCCCGCCCGTCTGTTCCTCCCGTTTTCGTGTGATGCCATAATTCCCCTTTCTGTCTCTCTCTTTGTGTGCCGTACCCATACCTCCTCTACTTGTGCTCCTCCTCCTGTTGCTGCTGCTTTTGCCCAGACCCACGGTACGGGCATAAGCAACACTGCAGGCATCCCGGTCGTGGCAAGCGAAACAAAGTTGTGATCTGCCAATTTATCTTACGGCTTGCCGCCTGCTCTCACCACATTCTCCATAGAGGCCCATAAGCTGTTCGTGGCTTTGTGTGCTGAGGGAGCGCAAACCTTCTCCCCTTCTCCATGATGCGCACATCCCCTTGAGTACAAATTTCACGGTGTACTGTATGTACACATCTCACGCCGGCATAGTCACCTCTTCCCGTACACCCGCGCACACACATACATGCTTTGGTAATTCCCAGGCCGCCTGCTTACACAGAGCATCCTGTACCTGATTTTTGTGTGTCCGCGTCCACATGCTTTGTGCTGCAAGGTGTGCGGTGTGTAGTCGTTCCTTCCCTTTGGGGCGCATGAAAGTCACTCCCCAGTGCATGTGGATCAAACCCAGTCCCCATTTTGCCATGCTTCCCTGGCTTCTTTGTTTCAGCTCACTCTCGTTCACTCGATCCTCATCTCAACCAAGTAAACTGACCTGAAAAAGCAGCCAGTCAGTGGAAGCGGCAGAGGTGTGCTGTTCGTTCCTCATTGTGGCTCCCGGCCGACTTTATCTGACCGACATCTCCAACCCTCTAACGACTTCCCAATAATTCCTCACGACCATTTGCCATCTGCGCCAATTTGTCCACCCCCGATCCCCGCTAGGCTCGACGCCTTCGCCGTACTGTGTGACACCCTGCCGTCTGACATACACCAAGCCCTGGGGGAGACGTGCATTGGTGGTGTCACTTTGGGGTGGTGTCCCCCAAATAGAATCCTCCCAACATGGCCTTCCCTCCTCTCGACCTCGGCGTGTCTCGACCGTCTTCCGGTATTGCCTCTCCTCCACAGCGCGGCCTTCGCTCGAGGACACAGAGTATATCCAGCGACCGGCCGTCGACAATCGCCCATAGCTTGATGTCGCCTCCTTTGTCTGTCTCGCCAGAGGCGGCGTTCATCGCTGCTTCAGCCGCCTCTCAGATTGTCACAAACGACCACGACAGCCACGCTGATACATGGTACGATCAACAGGGTATCGAGCCGTCTGGCGAGACCGCATTGGTTTCACCGGCTGCGCTCACCCTGGTGAACAGCTTCCTCGACCAACTACTATTCAACTTCCTCTCAATATCCGGATCTACCACCCTGACTTCACTTCGGCCCGCCGTATCAGAGGTTCTAAAGCCAAAGCTGGCCAAAGATGCCATTAATCTGGCGGATGAGGAGCTACGAGAATACCTGGGTGGAGGTGATGACGATACTCTCCTGCAGCAAAATGGTGGTGCAACGAAAGATTGGGACCTAGAACTGGTCTGGAAAAGAACAAGATTGAGATGTATGGTGTACTCTTCCCTCGGCGATATGGAGGAAGAGGATGAAGACTACTACATGGAGCGGGAGCATCTGGAGGGGGGCGATGAGAAGCTCGGCGAGACAGTCTCTCCCGCAGTGGCCATCTTCCTCACATCCATCCTGGAGTTCATGGGTGAACAAGCTCTGGTTGTAGCTGGGCAGGCTGCTTATCATCGCATGCGCGCCAAGTACGAGAAGGAGCTGAGGGAAGGCGGAAGAAGCCCTGTTGATGTGGCCGACAGAATTGTTGTCGAGGATCTCGACATGGAACGAGTGGCTCTGGACAGAACACTTGGCAGGCTCTGGAGGGCTTGGAAGAAAAGGATTCGATCCCCCGGGTTTGGCAGCATGGACCAGACCCAACGTCCATATTCGCGCGACTCGAACAAGGCCTCTCAATTCAATCACTTGAGACAACGCAGCAGCGCAGAAAGCGCAGTTCCTCAGGTGGTACAGGAGAAAACAGACGAAGCCGAGGCAGAACCTTCCCCGGAAAGCGTGTCTGGAGAGAAAGAGCTGGTGCAAGAGGAACCTGAGACCGAACCTGTAGAGGAGTATCTACTTGCAGCTTCCATTCCCCTTCCAGAAAGGGAAAATGATGTGGCCGAGATCGAGGTGCCCGGCTTGACCTACTATAGCGACGAAGAGGAATCTGAATACGAGGCCGAAGAAGAGAGCGGCCCCTTACGACCCAAGAGCTTAATGATCTTCCCCCAGACGAACAGCGCCGACCTTCCCACTCCGACCACATCACAACCTCACACCCCTACCTTTGCTCCGCGCAAACGATCCAATTCGCTTCCCACCCCCGCCGCTTCTCCTTATACGTCTCCCCGTAGACGTGTCAAGATCGTCCCAGTCGCAGCTCAATTAGCCGAGACTGCGCAAGATTCGGAGAAGCCTGAGCAACAGGAGATCGCGAAGCCTGATCAGACCGCGGCCAATTCTCAGGAGCTAACATCTGAAAATATGGAGACCATTGAGCAGAACGTGACCGAAGAGAAGCCCAAGCGCATCTCCACCGGTCCTATCGCAACCATTGTCACTGGTGCAGCTGCAGTTGGGACCGCAGCTGTTGCAGGGCTCAAGGCCATAGCTCAGGGCTCTACGGTTCAGACGGAGGTCGAGTCTGACGAGGAAGATGCCGGCGAGATCGAGGACTTTGTTGAGGAGCCAGAGATCCTGACCTCATCCAGAATTTCCATCAGTGGTCGTAGTAGCTCACCCGCCGCTTCTGATCACGGCAAGACTCTGACTATTCAACCAACGCACCCTGCGAGATCAGGAAGTGTGCATTCTCTACGACTGGTTGATGTCACCAGTCCTCGAAGCCCCACAACAAGATCTCGAGGAAGCTCAATTCACGAACTTGAGTCCGCTCCCAATGGGCGCCCACTCAGCCTGTCTCGGACTAGCAGTCTGAATACGCCGCCAATTGTGGAAGAGGAACACAAGGTTGAGGACATGAAGCTTCCTCTAAGAAGCCCCGTCGCCCACTCGAGCATATCTAGATCCTACACCGCTGAGTCAATTTCTGAGGCTGAGGAGATGCTCGAAGAGCCATCAGAGAGTCGCACACCAACCCCTCCAATTGCAGTCTCGGCACCAACGCCCAAGGCCAAGCGATCAGCCAGCCCAAGAGAACATGTCCAAGTAGATACGCCTATGGAGCAGCCTCAGCCCATCTTTGGCTCAGCTGTACGAGAGCGATATTCACCACCTCAGTCGCCTGCTAAAACAAAGGTCACTATCTTGAGCTCTTCAACATCGAATGGCACATTCTTCATGGATGATAAGCCAGAACCACCCGTAAAGCCAGTTCAGTGGGCTCAGCCACCCGCTCCTGCTCCCACGCTTCCCGAACGAAATGTGAGCCGACAGGTCAATGGCAAGGCTTACTCGCCTCCTCAGTCTCATGTCCAGTCCATGGGCAATGTGTCAGTGGATCGAACCCGAGAGTCGCCCGAATATTCTCGTCCATCTCAGGACCAAAGCACGATGCGACAGTTGCACACTTCCGGCTCTTCAACTGCTTCCTCGACTAACAAAGTCAAGCCAGTACGTGCCTCTCACGAAAGCTCACGCCCGGAAGAGGTTGCTCGAAATTTCGAGGAGCTTATCCAAAGCGACCAAACCATTCAGTACACTCTCACTCCCGAAAACATGCGTGACTTTGATGTAAGTATCCATTATACCTGTCAAGGGTCGGTTTTCTAACACACATAGTCTACACGATCTCGCCAGAACAGCACCAGCAGCCCCATCATGCCTGTCAGAAGCAGGAAGAGCGAGGATGCGCGCAACGGCAACCGTTCCCGCTCCTCATCCGTGAACAGACCGGCTGAGATCAAGAGATCAACATCAGTATCTCGCCCTACAGGCCTGAATTCGCATCCTGTTAGCGACTCGCCGTCTAGCGGTAGACTCGCAGGCCCAGTCCCAAGAGCACCACCTGTGTCCATGCAGAACAGGAATCGGGGGAGTGGTCCGCAAGCCAGAGATGCCAGAGTTCCTAGAGAGTCTCTGGCCGACTTTGCTGAGTTCATTCGCGCTACTGGGCCACCTGGAGAATCTGGTCCTGCAGCCTACGGTCGTGGAGCGAGTGCTGTACGGAATGCAAGTGGACCCATCCCAGTAACAGCTAAGACGAGCATCGATTCTGGTCGCGCGTCCACTGCAACAAATCCGAACAGGCATCGCTACGAAGCTCGCGAGCCGGTTGTCAATAACAGGGATGATAATTCTGACTTGATCGACTTTATTCGCCGCGGTCCTCCGAGCGCACACAACCCGCGCATTCCTAGGACTGTTGCGCCATTCCGCACGACGATGGACTCTGATCAACTGCAAGGAGCTGTCGGAGGCAAAGCCGTCGATGCGATGCTGCCGGATATCCGCCACAGTCAAGCTTCGACTAATGTGACAGACATGTCAATGCCCTCAGTACAGTCATCTATCAACTCACAGAGTGCACTGCTTGGTAGCAGCAGCAGCAGGAACAAGCCTTTGCCGCAGCAGTCCAAGAATCAGTTCGACGATGACGATATGCTCCCTAAGCGTAAGCAGCGTCGTGTGCGAGACCCATATGCTATAGACTTCAGCGACGAGGAAGAGGACGACTTGTTCGAGGAGACACCCAGAAGAAAGGCACCTCCTAAAGAGGAGAGCTTGATAGACTTCTTGAAGAATGCACCGCCTCCACCGGAGACGTCACCGGTACCCTTCAACATCCAGCAGGCTCAGGCACAGAACGCTCCCCTGCCTAAGAAGAAGGCCAGCGCTTCAAGCCTTATTGCTCGATTCGGGCGGACCAACAGCTCGCACGGCAAAGCCCCAGGCAGTCCTACGACTATCCGAGGAATGATGGATTTCAGGTCTTCGAGTAGTCGCTCAGGTAGCATCAGCAATGGCCGCCATGTTCCCATACAGGCGAATGCACCCCCCGTTCGGAACCAGTATGGCGGCGGTAACTACGGTGCTACTTCTGGTGGTGTATCAGGCATGAACTCGTCATCTATGGGCGGACGTGTGCCGATGAAGAAGTTCCAGGCACGAGACGCCACCCCGATGCCCTCGCGCGAGACATCTGACTTGGCTGAATTCTTACGCAACTCTGAGCCTCCGCCGTCCATGACAGCGAGCCCCTACGGAGGAAGTGCTGATCAAGACACGAATGGCTTTGCGAAGGTCTTTGCTCGCCGGAAGAAGGCGAGCTTCGCATAAGTACATCACACTTCAATTCGTTGATGCCACGAACCATCTCCATTTTATCACTTCATGTAGCAATAATTTTTCCCCATCACAAAACAGCATTCTCCCGAGACTTCTTTTTTGTCGTACAAAGACATACCAAGCGCCCTTGGGAGGGCTGGTCAGGTCCTGGATTTTCGGTGGCGGCGGCTGCCATAGCTTGCTTCAAATCCCATTTCTTCACGATGTTCATTTCGGCAAACCGAAGATTCGGTTTTCACACAGATTCTTTAATCTATACGATTGTACGTCTCTGGTCGGAGGGCGGTCTTCATTTCACGCTGCGTTTCACCTCATTGTTTGGCGGATTACTACCCCCTGCTGCACCTCTGCCATGTTTGGCGTTTTTCACTCTACCGAACCCGCGATACCACGACAAAAACGTTTTGTTTATGTTTCGTTGCTCAGTTGTTTTCCTCCGTGTGTCGTCATTGTATTTTCCCAACTGTTCGCTTGGAGGAGAGAAAATATCGGGCTTTGTGTCTGTCTCCTCACCTGTGTGTGGATGACAGCCCATTCATACATGTATGTTTTTTTGTCAATAGGGAATCTCCTATGTGCGTAGGAAAAGATCATAGGGAGGACGATTTGAGAGAGAAAGACAGTTTGATAGTCACCCAAAGCCGCGCTTGCTGAGCATTTTTTGTATGTCATGAACCAAAACATGATGCCTGCGAGATGGATACCACAGCAGATAATGAGATGCATGTATTCGTTCTCCAGATTTCAGTGTGCTTTCCGACCTTTCGAGTCTTGCGGAAGAAATGTGACATGTCCTGACCTCTTTTCGATCGCAAAGTCCCGATCGACGGATCAAGAAAAGTCTACAGGTTCAGTTTACAGTTATCAACAGGCAGAGACACAATCTTAAGTCAAGACCTGTTTGTTTTTTTTCCTTCTATCTTGTGTCGTATCGTATCGTCATAAGCTTCGTGAGCATCGAGCTCCTTCATGGTCGAACTTGATGTGATCCATGCTCTAGCTGAGAGCAAAATGTGAATCATACACCGCAGCAGCATCTGGTGCTGGCGTTATCTATTTACATGTCTTCCACACACCATGAGCAATTGATCGGTCAGGCCATATCAAGCTCCCAATATCCTTCCAACCTGCCCTTATTACTCTCCAGCTACCGCGCCAACCCTTTGCCTAAGTAATACAAATATAGTCTAGCGATAATATCGTATTATGCGCCACAATCGCAAGTTCCCGTCCGCACAACAGTAATCTCACAGCCCATGTCTTGGAGCTCAAAGGCTATAGTAGTGGATGTGAATAGGCGAATGAGCCTGTTCCGAGGCCTTCGTCTGAATACGAGCAAAACATATATGCTCTCATTCCGTTCTTACAACATGCGGCCAGACACGTCGAGAGCCTGCGGCCGTTTGTATCCATGGTTTGGTTTGCATCAACTTGCCATACCAAATAGCATTGACATCCATGCAAGATGAATATCCAGCCCGAATAGCGTTGATTTCATGATAATTCCAACCAAACACCTAAGATGTTGCCAGGAAGACGCTATCCAGACACATCCCAAGCCAAGCAAAATGCATATCGTGTTCTTAGGTATCTCCAAGGGCTCAAGACATATTTCATACGTCAGTCATTTCGACATCGACTTGTGTCTCATCTTGAGGCCCCCAGTTGCCTTCGAAGACAGTAGCTCCGGCACGCCTGTGAGTGGTTACCCAGCGGACCGAATCAACGTCCAAGATCTGATGGACACTTGGCCGCTCATCGGGATCAGGAGTAAGCATCCACTTAACCACATGGTCCAAAGAGTTAGGATGATCTGCCTGAACCATGAAATCAGGAGGATGTCGAAGGTCGGTTCGCTTTTGGGCGCCGAATAAGTTGCTCGCATTATAAGTCATCCCCTTCTCAGACCATTCAAAAGGAAAGCCCTGTCGGCTTGTGTTTGATCTTAGGCCAAGACTTGAGAGGCTGTCATCTTCTGTGAAAAGAGGTGAGACGACAGAATCGCTCTCGATGGGCATGCCCGTGGCGTCACGGGCGACTGCGCTCGCCTCAGTCCCCGTGAGACTTGGCACTACCGACAGGTCTCCTTCTCGAAGTGCGACCCAAGTCGGGCCGTTGTCAGGTAGAAAGACATTGCAAGCCATTTCGAGAACAATCAGGCCGAGAGCAAAAACATCTGCTGGCTTGTCGTATCGTCCCCGAAGTATCTCAGGCCCAATATACTCGCGATCTCCCTCGCCTTCAATATGTCTCGCGGCAGGCCATGCTGTCGCCATTCCGAAATCGCCTATCTTGAGGTTCCCTTCATAGTTGACGAAGATATTGGCTGGCTTCAGGTCTAAATGAATGAAACCGGCGTCATGAATGCTTTGAAGTCCCTGTGCAGCGAATTAGCAATGCTCTAGATCATATACGGCGAGTACATACCATGCTAGCTTCTATAAGAATTTTCCAAATTCTGAAGTCGTCCAAGCGGCCCGCTGTGCCGACTGTCTTAAGGAATCTATCAAGACTACCCTCTTCACAGAACTCGGTCTGGATGTAAAGATGGTAGTTGTGCTCCCAGTCATCTACGTATTGCAAGACGTGAGGACGACCGCGGATAGCCTTGAGGACGTTTACTTCGCGCAGCTTAGATTCACGGTCTCTCAGTCCTTGGAAGGGAATACGAATTTTCTTGACAGCGAAAACGAGCGCATCGGATGGAGAAGGTGGTGTGCCTGGTGTGCCAGTCAAAGGATTGGGAAGGCTCGTTGATACAGGAAGCTTGGTGACTCGAAAGACTTGGGAGAATTCACCCTTGCCCACAACCTCAGACTTGTCGAAGCGACATGTCAGAGCTTCATCAATGTCACTTGGCGCCTGAGCGTTACTTGGTGTTGTGCTTAGCCGACGATCAACAAAATCGAAGAAGTCACCATGTCTGGTAGTCGGCGTGGCAGGAGGGAATATCGGCTTCTGTTCTCCCCGTGTCAAGAAGCCATGACCATCTTGTGAGTTAGAGATCGACAGTCGGCTCGGATCTGGCGGCATCAAAGTATCCTGAGGTGTCTTTGGTGACTCATCAAGAGTTGGATCTAGACGCTCCAATGGGCTCGCTGGAAAGAGAGAATGAGTCTTAGCAAATCTTGTTCTTGTAGGATGGGAGAAGAGAGGTGCTGTAGATGCGTTCTGAGGTGGCTCTGGTATGGAGAATGACCCGTGCCTTGCTCGAGATCGACGTGGTGAAGGAAGGGAGGCTGGCAAGACAGAAGATATGTTGCAAGTGAAATTGGCTGATGCTTTAATCGTTCCATCTTGCTCATGCCCAATCTTGACGTCCGTCGAGTTGTTCCGTATAGGACTAGACTTACAGCTAGGGTCAGACTGTTGACGGCCGGCACCAAAACCCACAGCTGAGATTGGTGCAGGCAATGTGCGTGATGCCATAGGCGTCTGGCTGTTTGTTTTAGAGCTATTAATGCTCTTGAAGAGGACTGGTTTGGTCGGCGTAGGCGGCAAGCCGCCATCCGAGTCTCCATTGTCACCGTCCAAGCTAAGAACACTGTTCTTACGCGTATGGCCAGATCTAATCTGTCTGAAAAGACCCCCGGCTTTGTCAGAATTGCCAAAGATGCCATCCATCTGATGATTCGTCGGGTTGAAAGGCGTAGATGGAGAGAAGGCATGACGTTGCCTGTTCTTGCCACTCCCAGATTGCGGTGGATAGGTGTTGGATGGGTAGACAGGCTTCTTGCATGGCGTGTCGGGCATTGCGAGCGACTTGAAGGCGCTATTTGTTGGTAGCTGCTCCGGGTTACGATTCATCTTTGAAACCAGTCCCGTTGACTTGAAAGCTCCTTCGAATGGCTTTGCATTTTTATAAGCCGGAGTCGCAACGGGCCTGGTTTCCCGCGGGCGTTGTGCTCCAACTGGCAGTGAGCGCGCAAAGCTCAGTGGTGCCCGTGGCTTCTCAAACTGGACGGGGAAATGTGTGGGTGACTCGTCCGGAAGGCTGGAGTTCGACGAGGATGTTGTCAGAGTTCTGGACAGAGGATGAGGTTGATGTTGGCTTCGCTCCATCGGGTGTAAAGAGGGATTTGGTAGTGGTCCTTGAGTCGAAAACGGGCTATCGCGAGGCATCGGCTGCAAGAATTGATCGAGCGAGACGCGAGGTCTGTTCCGATGGTTCGGGGTTGACACATCCGATCCCATCTGAGCAAGGTGCTTCTCGCCCTGTCGTCGGCCCCAAGAAGATCGGTCCCCATGACGCTGCTGCAATGTTGACTTGCGCAGTGAAGACGAGCGGCGCGGCATGGCTGTGGGAGTTGGAGAAGGCATCGGGTCACGCATGTTCATCGGACCAAAGCTCGTCAGTTGGTACTCCTGGTTTGAGTCTTCATGTATGTCGAAAGCTTGCTGCTGTTGTTGAGGCGCAGCAGGTGGGTGATCAAAGATGTTGAAATCTCGCGAATCCGTTGAAAGTCCTGAGATGCCATGTAAACTTCGTCGCTTTGCTACCGGACTGCCGGGATTTGCCTGGTCGAGATTCATAATCGCATCACTCCGCTTAAGTGGGCTAGCCGTGGATGTAGCGAATGCGTCCGCCTTGACGTCTAAGAATCTAGAGACCGTGCTACGGGACGCGCCGGAGATATCAAGATGCATACTGTGGCGTGACGGCTTCTCGAGGTTCTTGCGCGATGATGGACTAAGAGACAGAGCAAAATTCGCGAAGCTGTTATTTTCTTGGCCCCCGAGTGCTTCAGGTGCTGGGGATGGCGGCGTCACCGAGTTTCCAAAATCTGAAGTTGCGTTGAAGGCGCGCTTCAAAGGACTCTTGGGAGAGAGGCGAGCTGTGCGAGATAATGGCTTCGCTGTCGCAGCCTTCGGTCTCGCAGAGCGCAAAGAGAGCTTTACGCCCGACCGAAAGGGGGTTGAGAAGTTCGTTTGGTGTTGTAAAGATGCAGGCGCTGATGGCGGCACGGTATTCATCGATGAACTTATCTGTCTGCATGGCGATTGTGGCGAAGGCGTGTTGGACGACTCTTGGGAGCTGTCTGAGGCGTGGGACGGTGTTCTACCAAGAGCCCATTTGGAAGGCGATCTGGACAACGAACGCCGCAGGGATCTGACAACGGCAGCACCCATGTCAACATGATGAGGATGAGTGGGTGATGGGATAGTCAGAGTCCCTCCGCTGCTGTTCGAGTACGCCATGGTCTTGGATTGCGAACGGGTGTATCTGTGAAAGTCGGTCTATACACAGCGATTGCAAATTCGGCAACCTAGCAGTGCCTATTCCAAGATCGAGGCCGATGAAACAGTCGCGGGTTGCGTAGATATACAAGATTTGATCTCCTCGGCTTGTCGCAGGCAATAGCTGCAGTTATGTGGTGTGTCGCGGGGTCGGCTTCACTTTGACCAAGCGCGGCGCTCTGGTTGATTCTAGACAAGCTCCAGGTGTCTGAATATGGTCGCCTAAGCTAAGTAGACGCGATGGGTATCTGAACCGAATAATGGATACGTAGGCTGCAGCGATAAAAGTAGAATTCGATAGTGTGGAAGGCGGCGACTCGATCAAGAGTGCCAAAGGTGGAGGAGAAACGGGGTCCTCTACAGCATCGTCGCGAGAAGGATGTCAGTCGCCAGCACGCGCTTCCGTGAAGAGCTGGGTTTGAGAGTTTTCTGGGCAGCAACCCAGATGCCGTATGCTTGACGTAGATGTAAAGAGGAAGACCGAGGCCTCTGGCAGTGGTATGCTCTCCAAAAGAAGTGGTCGTGGAGGGTGACAGAGTGGCCGGACGCCCCTTCCCTACAAGGCGAAAGACACTCGCGGTGAGGTCGCGTTGTGAGCGCAAAACAGAGCAGATCAGCGCACTATGATGACAGAGTGTGGCAAGATTCTGTCTGCAGCAGGCGAGTTGTTGTTTTGTCCAAGAGGAAGGTTGACGCAAGGGAAAGACGATCAATGTGCTGGGTGTCCTGGGGGTGTGTGGGTGTGTGGGTGTTCGTCATTCGCGTTGGCTTCCAACCCAGTATTATCAATATCAGTCAATGGGGGGAGGGAACAGGATACAGTAATGCGTGGTAGACAAGCGGCGAATTTTCCTAAGTGTAGGTCGCGCCTGTGTTTACTCACTTACCCAAACAGGTAACTACCTTGACGTGTCACAGGGGCGAGACGCGTTTTTGGTGCGGTACGTACCGTGCATACAAGGGTGGTTCCTTCCGTCCTTTCCACCCTTCAGGTGGTCCTTGCCGAACCTGGAACCTGCACATGCCATTTTTGGGCGCCACTCTCCCGCCTGTCCAGCGCACTACAAAGTAGTGGTACTTTACCTCATGCACATTCCTTCATAGGATGGAAGCTGCCTAGCAGATGGCTCTTCCCATGACGTCCCATCGTAATCTCCTCCACGAAATCAACGGTTTTCCTGTCCAAAGCTAGGAAACGGGAAACGGGGGCGACCAGTTCTCCTATACACTAAAGCACAGATTCAGTACAGCAAGGCCTCTCTACCAACTTACTCCACATCCATCCAGGCCTCGAAAAACAAACAAAACCTCCCTCGTCTAGTGTCATCATCTACCTGCTACTTTACAGCGTATGGATAATTCGGCGCATTTTCACTTATCCACTGTTCTACGCACTTGTCCCGAGCTATCTTAGGCAACTGTTAAAGAAAAATACGGTAAAAGCGGCTGCCGTGTCGTTGGGTGAAGGCCAAGGGAAGGGAAATCTAAAAACAGGCTACAGAAAACCGTCGTCCCATGTTTTAGCACCAGCGACGGTGTCCGCGTAGCTGGGGCCGATCTCTGCAGGCGTTTCCACCCAATCAAGGCCTGAACGCAGGGGTGTTTGTTTGTCGATTCACGGTTGACCATCCATCATCAGCTCGTGTGAGAGCGCGCAGACAACAGCCCTCCAGTAGCAGTCCTTTCTGCTGCTGTAGGTCGGACGATCTAGATCTACATTCCCAACGGCTGCTCGACCTTGCAGAGAGGTCTGTTTCGGACCCCAAACTGGAGTCAAGACGCAGGACCCCTTGGACTAGACCCTGAATTCGGCGTTTCAGACACGTGCAAATCGCCTCCGTCTTTTTTCTTTGTCCTTCTTTCTGAGGGGCTCGTGTGTTGCTGACGACGTCCGCCTCAGCTTCCATCATCATCGTGGTGGTGACTCGAGGTCAACATTCGCCATCTACCTGCTACTGTAGGAGCCATTGGCCGCCTCCGCTGTTGATCAAAACAAACACCGCGTCATTTTTGTTTTCCAGATCAAAACAAGCATAGCAGATCCCGTATTAATTGATCGTAATATTGCAATTTTTATGCCCATTGACTTCCCATCTCGCTTAAAGCCCTTGTATATCCACTCCCCACTCTGCCGTCTGTCTGTCCGTCCGGCCGTGCCCGCGAACTACTCGATAGAAGCCTCGATAGAACATCGACGGCCAGGGGTTTCCATTGTGCAGGCCCATTGTACTGTAGTATTAGCGTCTAGGTTCATGTATCGATAGTTTACAACGTGGGTTCGGCTTATTTTATAAAAGCCATGCCATGAGATTGGCATCTAAGCATCCATGTTAATGTCCGACAGGTGTGGTGCCCCGTGGCATCATACTGCAGCGAATGTAGTTCAATTCTCCCTCAACGTCGAACGCAATGTCTCCATTACATGTGTTAGACCGCCCTTGTGGGATTCAGTGATGGCAGCTGACCGGTTTGGTAGTCTACCAGTCAGACTCACATTTCAAATAGCCTAGACTGACGAGTGCTCCTTGGACATTGCTTTGTAGTTGAAATCGACACTTCCGAGTTCGGACTCTAATATGCAGCCCCTACTCTCAGCTACGCCCCAGGACTCGAGGTGTCGTCACTGCATTCCCGAGGTATGGTGAAGTTTTATCGAGGAGTGCTTGGCACCATTGTCACAAACCTGTCAGTGCCCAAGGGGTTTGTACAGAGGGCATTCCAGCAAAGACATAGAGCAATAGGTTTTTGGTCATGTTGCAAGTCACTACAAAGAAGCAACACATCGACTCTGTTGATTCAAAACCAGAAAGACACGGAACATAATATAGGGGGTATCGCTGTAGTAATATGATCCTCATGTCTCCTGTGGTGATTTCCATCCTTCCCTTCACTCTACTCCAACCGGCTACGAATCCACTCGCACCATTTACCAATATCTTCCACCATCTCCAATACTCGTCCAAGATCTTGCTGCGTTATTGATCTGCCTTTGCCTTTGCTGGCATCTTCGAGGTGTCCTGCGTCTTCTCCCAAAATGTTCTGGGAGACGATGTGAACCAGACCGTTCAACTGTATCTCAACCATGATGTTGGCTGTTGTGCCCTTGAAGGGGAACACAACCTGCAATCGCGGCAAGGGATGGGCTGTCAATGTCACATCTACCTTGAGATCTTTGACAACACTTTGTGTCTGCACCTTCCCTTCCTTTCCAGCTGCATTCAAGAACCCTGTGAAGTCATCCCTTACAGTCGTGGTGAACGTAGTTGATTCTGCAGGTTTCTGCACCGGTTTGTCCAAGGGCCACTCATCAGGTCCGAAGCTCTTGTCCAGGAGGATAGATAAGAAAGCATACTGTCTTAGCAGTGGCAACATCTCGACAAGTTGCCGCGGATGTGAGAAGGGTACCTCGGTCAGTGTCTTTCCGTACACCGGTTTATATATGAACAGAGTATTCTCATGTGTCTTTAATGATGTTTCGCCATCCTTTGAGACGAAGGATACTTTCTTTGTGCGGCCTATTGTCCGAGGTTCCGCTGGATCGTGATGTGCTCCTGGTGGGATTGGGAATAGCAGGATGTCAAATGTCTCCAGGGAAGTGACAGACGCCGTTGCACCCGTGAGCTGGTGTACATGTTCCCAAACGCTGTAGGGCACCGCGACTGGAGGATCAAACTTGGCCATGAAGATGACTTCAGGGTATTTTGGCCCTGACAGTATCGATTCAGCCTGCATCAAGTCTGTGCTCGCGTCAGACTTCGATCCGTCCGCATTTGGTAAAATGATATTCTCCGGTTCCTGCCAGTCCAGAATCGGTTGACCAGTGGTATTTGACAGCAGCTCCTCATCGGTAGGATGTAGCTTTTCAATCTCGGTGGAAATCCATTTATCTGATACGCGTACCGGGCGGTAAACCATGCCTCCCAAGGGAGCACAGCTGACCATAAGAGCCCACGTCTTCAATGCTTCGGATGCTTGAGACGCGTTTGTTATGCTATGTGAATGCTGCAGTCTCCTCTCTCTCCAATAATCTAGGCTGAGCCCAACTCGATCTCTGGCATGCATCACTGGTGATCCGTGGCGGGTACAGAGCGCTGTGACTGCAAGAAACTCGTCACCCTTCCCGGCCAGAGAGCCGTCCTCGCGAAGCTTATCGATGTCCCACCTGTGCAGCCTCCCTAAGCTCTCGTATATCCCGGCAATGGCTTCATGTGTGTTAAGACCAGGTATGACGCTTGACTTGTCTAAAATCGCTAGGCGTTCGAGGTTGGCCGCAAATTTGTCTAGGGTTTTGGTTAGAGGGCTTTGAGTTGGTAGAAGCTTGAGATCTTCAAGAATAATTTGTTCCGCCTTTGCTACGTCCTTTGTAACCGACTTCGACGATTCGGGAAAGGAAAGAGACACCTTCTGCACGATATTGTTGACCAGGACAATATCCAAGGCTAGAGCTGATCCTGCAATAATCAAGGTCCTGGATTTGGCACCATTGATCGTTCCTTCATCCCATAGATATTCTAGACCTGTCGATTTCGTCAACCTCTCTAGACCCGCTTCGCTGACAAGACCTTTCTTCTGCTAGTGGGCCGTTAGTATTAGAAGAACAGCAAAGCCCGAGCCACAGACACAAACCTTTAAAAGATCTATCACGGCTTTCAAGCGCTCTTCTCTTCCATCATCGCCACTTCCAATACCACCCAAAGCGCCTAATTGACCGACACTGACATTGTCCAGCGCACCCTCAAGACCAGTTATACCCAGAGCCCCAAACGCCGCGGCGGCAGACGGACTATCGAAGTTGACAGGATTGCTGGCCTGGTGCCCCATCAATGTCGCTGATGTCGCAGGAGACTTCTTAACTTGCTGTGGGGACGATCGAGGACCATGAGGTGAGAATGCCGCATGCGCGAAAGGTGTGGAAGCGGCTGGCGTTGCGCCTGCGCCATGTTGCGATTGCGACGGTGTCCTGCCCTGCTGAGAGGCTGCATGTTTCATCGGGGTGGGCGTAGCCATTTTGAGGGCCAATTGAGCGAAATGTCGACGAGGAGAGTCTGAGTAAGGACCGAAGCTTATTTTGTTCGATTAGGGAGATCACTCGGGAAGCTTCGTCCAGCTTCAACGGCAAGCGAAGCTGCTAGATTGCCTGCTGTCCTCTTCGATATCCGTCGGTTAAGATTACGACATGTCAGAAGGAATTAAGAGTCGCGCCTTCTTCGTATTGTATAACTGGCGTTAGGACGCCGTAACAAGGTGTCGCGGGGTCGCCAGTTGAGATTGGACTTGGGTAGAAAGGTTTGTGTATGGTTTGCTTTTGGCGTGGCCAAAGGCAAGGCGTGCGCACTGTCGCTATCCGGAACGTTTTTGAGCCTCGCAGCTGTGGGGTTACAGCCTCGACTTGGCTGGTGGGGCTGAAGGAGAGAGGTCAGCTCTTACATGGCCGCACAAGACAATTTAAGTACGAAGCAAGTCCTTTGAAACCACCGACAATTTATCGATGGAGATCAATCCCAAATTCTGTGCATGCGAATGTCGAATTGGTAATCGCGTTCATAATATATGCTTGCTGGAGTGCAAACTATCACCCAATAATTTGAGACTTACCTCGCCTGAAATCCCTTATTGTTCATTTAAGATCTCTCAAATTGAACGACATCACGAATACTAACTAACAGGATATCTATCTCCCGGTGTCTTCGAAGCACATGCTTTCGATGAGAAACCTACTATTATTTTACGATCAGATAGCTCAGCAAGGCGTTCGAAATCCCCGTTGAGATTATTAATATATAACCTTTAAAGCTGTCTCGCGATTTCGAGATGACCGTTCGGATCGAATTAATTTCTTCACTCTTCTAGTAAAGGGCTTTCCCGGTGCTTAGAGACGTCGGAGACGTATTCCACTTTACTACAATTAAATCAGGGAGCCCTGGTTTTACCATAATGAGCTAGAGTACGTGAGTCGGTCTTACGAGTGAATTGTCTACTCAAATACCTCCCTGATGGGTTATAGCAGTTTCTTAGTTCTCAAGAATGAATATCTACAAGAAAAGAACGGGAAAGTTTCCACGGGTCTCACAGTAAGGTAAACGTGCTTTGATATTCTAATCACCAATTATTTTTCAAGTATTGAATACAGAGTGATATAGCTGGCCATCATGGCTGCGTTCTACTGAGTGGCTAATGAGGTGCTTGATCCATTGCTCCGGTAAGATTGTTAGCAAACGTATTAGTTCGTTAAAAGATCTTAGTGAACATTGTCTGGGGTACAGTGATATGCTTGATTCTGCGCGTCTGCTTTATTGAAGTACTCACTGGTACCGGTACGAGACTTGAAAACGAAGGCGAGCCAGCGTAAGCGAGAATCAATATCATACCGGTATGTCAGTAAGACATCAGACATTTGAAAGCACAGCCGATCATTCCCTTATATTGACATTGACTATCTAGATGTCCATACGGTCTACAGAACGGTCGAGTCTCCCTCGGAACGTGTTACCTGTCTGGGAACTCCCGTTTTCTCCATGTCTAGGACGTGCTCTCGCTTCCTCCACCTTGAAAGGTAAGGTGTGATATATAGTGTAGATCTGGTGATACACGCAGGAACAGACCGAGTGGGGCGCATGCTCAATAGCCATCTTAGCCAAATTGGCATCAGCAAATCTGCAGCAGCTCTTGCTCAACTGATTTGTTGAAGGGAAAACGCGTGAGCGCCGCAAATGCAACTCTGCTGCCAGCTGCACTGACTCTGCAGGGCTGAAGAGCAGAGTGGAGGCCAATGCTGGGAGGGTTGCGGCAGCGGAACCAGGTTTGTGCTTCCGCGGACCGGGACCTACTTTTAGCGCTGTCCCGAGATATTGGAGACGCAACCACCTCGCAATGCTGGTGGCTGGTCTGATCACCCTGCATCCGAAGAGATATGAGTATCTTCCGACAGAGGTTAGACGTTCGGGAATTAGATCTCATGCTTACCTTTTACACTGTGAAAAAAATCCATAGATAACTCGCACGGTATGCAGACGACTTGTTAGATTTGAGCTTGCCATCAGACATTGATTACTGCTACATGACGATACGAGGCATTGCGAAGCGGTATCAGGAGGTCACTCCGGAAGCATGACAAGGATCTATGCCATCGATAGATTCCTCGAAGCTGCCTAGACCTCGTAGGATAGATAAGTAGGTTTGAGGATTACGCTTAGGCAGTACATATTATTTTACGTGTATGATAGCCTGGAAACTATCCCCAAATTATCTATTCCTCCATCATTGTTATTTCTAACAGGCTGCTTCGTCACAAGTGAGACAGCTTCATGATGACTTTAATGGAAGCATTCAGCCATTGCCGTTCTAGGCTGTTGCTGTTGCCGTAGCGGCAGTAGACACACCAGAGCACACGCAGCCTCCGCTTGCAAGGCTCGTGATAGGAGGACTCGTGCATGTTGCTAGGGATGTCCAACCGGCGATGGTCTTGCTCGGGTACCTTGAAATGCAAAGTTAGTGCTGTTGCTCATAACGATTAAGCTGAGTAACAAGCACCAGGCCGGAACTTGGAGCTCTGGTGCTTCTTTATGGGCTTGAACAGCGGGATTAAAGACTTACGCTTGATACAACTTCTGGGCTTTCACTAGCACAGGGATGATCTGTCCAGTAGACAAGCTAAATGTGCGGTGACCAAGAGTACGCAAAATGCTGGCAATTTCACCTGAGTGCGCCGTTATGCTCAGCCATGTGTTATCGTCCTCGCTAAAGACCTCATCAAGAACGATCTTAGAACGCGCATCCTGGGACGAAGAGTCCTCGCCCAGTACACCGGTCCAATACGGATCCTGCTCCGGGAAGCCTGGCTCAAACTTCCAAGTTGGGACAAGACCTGCAATAGTAGTCTTGTTCGACCGCCTGTCGCAGGTATGGATGCTGATTCCCTCGCGGAAGAATTCCTTAATTGTAGGAACAAACGGCCTATCCTCAGGAAGGTCAAGACCGGAGAAGGTGATATTAGCGGTGTAAAGGCATCGGCGCAACGGGCTGCTGTAATACGACTGAGGTGCAGGAATCCTTTGGTTCTCCAGCTCGTATTTCCAGAACTTGTTCGCTTTCTCGGCCTGAGCAATGCCAGCCTCTGTTAGCAACGCATCATCCCATCGCACGGTGCCATTGCCTTCCAGCTCGGACCAATAACAGTTCCATGCCGGCGTGCCGTAGAACGTTTCTGCTGCATTATGGTAGCCTTCACCGTGCCTTCCCATCCAGAGCACCTTGTAAGTAACGTCATCGCCGGACTCTTTATTCAAGGTATTGACATAGTTGGCGAACTTCTGCCACTGAGTCTTACGCCCACACTTGTCGAACGCATCATCTGTGGAATATGTCTGGTTGATGAGCCCAAAATTGACTGTAGACTAACAAAGAGGGTCAATGGCCTTATATCCCTGAGGCACCGTAAAGGTAAAAACATACGTAGTCAAAGGAGCTTGGGATAGTTGCCGAATCATCTTGCAAAAAGAATCCTGTGACGGTGGTGTAATTGATGTAATGAGAGTTAGAACCACAGTCTGAAACCCCAAGCTTCCAAGCTGTGGAGGTAGAGACCAGAGCCAGCACAAGACTAGATGCGAAAAGTTGAACCATGATGAGGGACGATCGACCAAGACGAGAGGAATGACGGAAAGAGAAAGATGACAGCCTCACGAACGCGTCGACAAGGGCGATAATAAAGACCGCCAAACCCACGCAACCGACATCAGACACTCGACGATGTCGGCCAGCAAAAACGCAAGTCTGGCGGGCCTGCCACGAGGCGACATGGTTCCTGCGTGGATAACTCAATTAGACTTGCCTTTCTCAGTATCGATGCCGCAGCGCGTGGTCGTGCCGCCCAGGCGCATTGGCGGAACCTTGAGATTTGCTCCAATCTAGTGACAGTTTGTCGCAATAGGCCACCCGACCATGTGGAAAGGGTGCGGGCTTCGATCTTTCAATTGATGAAAAGTTGCACTGCTAATCGGTGGGAGTTTTCGAGATGGCTAGCCATTGACCAATGGATCAGGAACGTGCCCACCTGGGCGGCACTTACACCAAGCTTCTGACAAGGATACAGCACCGAGCTTCACTCCATTACACCAACTTTGCATGGACCCAATTTACCTCTCAGGACGTGTCTGAATTCTTGAAGAAAATTATAGAAATCAAGATATTTATCGCGAGAAGCAGGCACGTTTTCTGGTCTCAATCTGTTGCCAAGCAACTAATCGCAAGATGGCATGATGACAATCTATTCGTTCATGAGAAGGTAATTTTCTTGCCCATCAGGCTCCTGAAGGCATCGTCAATGGCCTTGCGCTTCTGTGTCATTTCCTCTTGCGCCTGCTCCGCAGTGTTATCTTCGTCTTCCTCGTCGAGTCCTTCGACCCGAGGCATCCAAGCGCGAATTTGGCCATCCAGATGGGCGCTATATATGCCTCCAGGCGCATTGCTCCCTCCCATTACCACTCCACTCGAGCCTCCTCCTCCTCCGGCACCTCGCCAGACCAGACCGGTAACACGATTCTTGACTGTCCGCTCGCCGCCCCTCTGTGACCTTACACCTGCCATTTGTGGGCCAACCCCACGAAGGCGCGAGACAATCGAACCTTCATGCAAATCCAATACCAAGATTTCAGACTCATTTGGCCAGAAGAGCAACTCTTTCCGTGGGTGCGTCAAGCCAATAGGGGAACTGAACATAGTAACACTGGAAAGCTGGCTGTTCCGGATACTGGGGCCAAAGCTGGCGAGTGTGTTAGCCCCAGTGGCCGCATCCCAGACACGAATGCGGCGATCGTGCCCGGCAGAGATGATGTATGCTCCGTCCTCTGTCCAGGTAAGCCCATTGACCGGCCCTGAGTGTGCCTTTGCAGATGCTCGAATGCCGCGCTCGCGAAGGGCACCGCTCTGGGCGTCTCCTCCTCGATGAATGATCCCCAAGCTATCTTCCTGGTCAAGCAACCCCAATAAGCCACTCGCGCGACGAACATCCCATATGCGAACAGCGCCATCCACAGCCCCGCTTGCCAGCACATGCTCGTGGCGCGGCGACCAGGCGACTGAAAGGACCGCGCCGGTATCTGCTCCGACTTGTCCTGGTGCGACCAGGGACTGCACGGCTGCGCCTGACCGCAGGTCTACCAAACGGACAGCTGGATGCTGCGTCCCGCATGCAACCAAGAGATGGTCTGCGATTAGAGATATAGCATGCGTGTAGATCTTGGAGCCGAGCTCAAAGGAACCTGATACCCGAGTTGAATCCGTAGCCCACAACTTCAGAGTCTGATCGTATGAAGTAGACAGAAATGCTGCCCTGTCGAAAGGGTAGAACGACAGATGTGTAATGCCAAAACGGTGTGCTTGTGACTTGGACGCAGGAGCCCGTGGCAAGGTCTCAGCCTTGGCGATTTTGGCGACGGGCCTGAAAACATGCGCATCATTCGGGTTGGCACTCTGTTCCAAGTCCCAAATTTTGATTGTAGCATCTGAGCCACCGGAAAGTAGGCTGCGTAGAGTAAGGTTAGATGATGCTTCAAGAGTCTCGGTGCATGGCCGGACTCACATGCGACCATCAAAACGGTCCAGTGCCAGGGCATTCACACCCGACTGATGCGCCCAGATGGATGTCTTGTTGTCCGCGCCTCCCGCGTCCCCTTCGCCTCTATCCAGCGACGCCCCTCTCTCACCTCCATCGAACCTAAATTGCGGCGCAGGGCGGAACGATGCCAGCAGCTTTGTTGTTTGAAGCTTTGCGAACGCACATGGGCCGAGATCGCCGGAGCTTCGCTCAAAGAGGAGCTGATTCATGAAGCCATTTGAATGAGCGATGTATCTGAGGACTATCTCTCTCGAAAGTCTGTTGCGATGTTATGTCTCGCGAGCAACTCGTTTCAAAGGCAGTGCTTTCTGGAATGATCTTGAAATGACGACACGCAAGTTGAGTTTGGGAATTTTTTTAGGCACCTGAATATCTATCTCCCTTGCACATCCGGCTTACCGTGGGCCATACTGGGTGGGTGAGCCCCGCACCATGCCGCTAACTGGTACCTCAAGCTCAGATAGTCAAGATTTTAGCTTAATAGCATTTCAACTTCTAAAGCGTACTGAAATCCTCTTGTGAGCCTCTGTCAGGAAGCTCATCTGTTCTCGGTAATTTGGACTGACCGACTCCTGTTCTGAGTGTTCTATCATGCACACCTTCGGAAAGTCTTATCAAGCATTCCATCCGGGAGCTGTTTAAGCAAAGGCGCCAACCACATGTGACGAACAAAACAGACGCCGCTGAAGTGACACCATGTCATCACAGAACGTTGAACGAGGCAAATTCACGTATGCTGACTCGAGCCCCGAGCCACTCGAGTATACTACGACGCAAAAGCGGACAGCAAATGTTTATGATGCCGTCGCAGGTTCGCATTGTCCTTGAGCTTCTAGGCACCAAGTCTAACATGTTTCCAGGTCGTGTCTCGACAACACAACCAATTACGACGTACAAGCCTGGTGGTAGTACGCAAAGCCAGACGCCTAGAGGGCAGTACCAATTGAAGGATGCGATTCTGCCTCCCGAGGAAGTCCTGTTCTCCCGCAAGGCAGCTCCTCAACGTTACGCAGAAAAAGATATCTACTTTGCCAACGAAGCACTCCCAGATGGTGGACGGGATGTTCTTCCCGATAGCGACATGCTCAAGGCCATACATGCCTATGCCAGCCGGTATTACGAGGCGCTCCCAGAGCGGCTGCGAGGTGAGGAAAGGAGGCAATGTTTTGTCGGGTCACGTCATATCGATGAGCGAAGTATGGATGAGACGGCGCTATTGGCATTCGGTATCCTACTCGAGGAAGCGGCGCGGGAGGCACTTGGAAAGAATGGCGACCTTGTCTTCACCGAGGGTTTGGATCCGGGACAGGAAGAAATCGAAGATGATGACATTGACGCCGCAGATAGTAGCGCTACGAAGCAAGAGACTCCCGTTGGCTTCGAGGATAGGGATTGCTTTTGGAAAAGAAGATTACCCAAGAGGAGGAAGCTGGCACAAGAAGAAGAGTGATGGTGTGGAAGCACAAAATCTTGATACTTCCTAAATCACTCGTGGACTAGCTTTCAAAGGCATCACCACAGTCGTATCCCCTTTCAGAGAAGATGTTAACTTGGCGTCAGATCAGTAAGATAAGCGGTGTTAACCGATGATGAGGCTTTCAAAGCTGGTGGATTTGCACCGGGGGTTTGGAGATTCTGGAAATCCAGACAATATACCTTTCGTGAATAGCCATTCTTGATGAAGAAATAGCGGCAATGCTAGGTTGATTATGAATTTCTGAGATGATGAGGCTGAAGGTGGCGCAAATTGGAAGGTTTGGAGAAAGGTGAGCCGCTTTACAGCTTGCCACTTGTCAGGTCAACTACCATTCTGGCGCAAGATCAACTCAGTAACCCCAAAAGTGGCTTTCGAGGCTGAACTAGTTTGGAGCCTTCCGCCTTGCGAAAGCTGATTGACATAAACAGTTGAAGTCGCGATACGACTAATTTCTGATTCTGCTACATACCTTGACGATCTGCAAAGTTTATGAATGAAGTAAGGCTCACGAACTTCTCGGTTATGGAGGATTGACATGATTTGCCCTACACAACGTGGGATTTTCGTCCTCCTTCGAGGATGGACTTTTTCTTGTTACTAAGATTTTCAAGTACTCTTTCTCTTCCTCTGGCCAGCTCTGGCCCAGCCAAGGCAAGTGGTGTGGGAGTGAGGAACAGCCGCGTGTCAGGGGTGTCTAGCCGCATGGCTGTCCAGGATTGCACGGGTCTTGGACTGGCCAGATGCAAGCTTCGATGCGGGATCTCTTCGGTCGCCTTACCTGCAATGCCGATCTTAGAAATGAATGCGGGATGTGCGCGTCGGAAGGGACTTGTGTTGCTCTTCCTTGCTTTTTGAAATTCACCCGCGCGGGGATTGAAGATTCGAAGCGTCGGGGACTCCCGCTGAACAGCTTGGACGCATCTCATGGAGGTTGTGATTGTGATTATCACACATGCTGTACAAAGTCGGTCAGTTCTCAGAACCGCACTGGACTTTCTGTTCAAAATGGGAAAGTCATTCGGCACTCTAGACTTGGACCGCCATGTGTGACTTTCTGATATTGTTCCTTTAAGTCAAAGCATGGGTGACAGAGCCCCCCGCCGGATTACTGTAAACGGTCGCATGCCGTGCTGCATGGTCGAGAGATGTGTGCTGCAAGGATCTTGGCGCTATTTGCAACACAAAAGGTGGGATGTCAGAACGGAGCCTAAACAATCTCTCACGCTCTAGGCCAGTCGCAACTCTGTAACGTCGTGTCACGGAAATGACAGTCTAGACACATACTATGAATAGGACAAGTAAAGGGGTTGACTGCAACCCGGATGATACAAGAAACAAATGAGGATATGGATTGTCGGCTGTCATTTGTGCATATGCAGGCTTATTGTTAACATCTCGATTACACCGCTTGGTGATTGAGAAGCTCCAAGGGTGTGTATTGCTTCGGCCAAACAAAGATTGAGGAGCAGAGGCACCTGCATTGCGCCGCAAGTCTAGACTCATCGCAGTATCGTCTAGAGAGGATGCGGCCCGGATCCTACAATAGCTGGAGCAAGTATGGTTGGCTCTATCATCTCGAGATCACATACCTTTCGAGCCAGTTCTTCATGCAGGCGATGTCAAGAATAGGAGTCGGTAGTGACGCTTTGCTGTCCTTGTAGGGAGATGCATCTTGATTGCCGGAACTAGCAGCCAACGTCGCAGAGCAGGGCCCCCCCTATGCAAGCACCGTTGAAGGACGTTTCCCTTTGGACTGATGACTATCTGGATTGGTACAGTACTGTGAGGCTTTGTGAGGGATCGAGCCCCAAGTCTAGACGCCGTGAGATGCGATAGGTGGCACTGCCACCGACCACTATGTGGGAGCGCGTTGCTGCCACCATCATGATCAAGCAGTTACCTTGAACATGAGTAACACAATTCTCTCAGAGATTGATCTTATCAATCTCCCCCTTCATGACTAGGCAGGCGCAGGCAATACTCTCCCGAGGTCACACTTGTGACCCCCCTTTCTCGAGCCACTGTCCGTCACCAAGTGTTTCACCCCCGGGAATGCTTGCCTCTCGGGACCGACTTGAGAACCATAATTCTAGACTTCATAGATTTATGTGAACTCGTACGTTCATAGCTGCCCAAGGCCAGGCGGTCCTGGCGAAGTCGCTGCTGGTAACGAACCGTGGGATGATATGACCTATCATAATGGACCTGGTTGATCTCCCCTGGCGGCGGGTAGCTGCCATTGCACACCATCGTTCCAAATAGACACACTTGTCAAAGATATCCACGAGAAATCATCCACATCTTTGCAACGCCACCATCTTGGTGATCTGGTACCATATGCCTTCGTTTCTCGGTCGAGAGCCGGGGATGACAGACGATAGATCTTGCCGAGCACACTCGCGGCATGCAGGACAACATTGAGCCAGAGTGGAATGTCTCGTCACATTTCGATAAGGCCGAGTCAACAGTATATCGCGGCTCTTTGTCAATGCCTTTGAGATATTGGTGTTATAGCACAAACAGTCATCCTTTAGATTTTCAACGAATTTCCCAATATGACAACGGGAGGCTTATCTTGCAGGTGAATCCGCTCGTAGCAGGTGAAAGGGAAATTTTGCCAATGATAAGCGTGTCGAATTGTCCACGCAGTGTTATCGCGTAAAACCCAGCGAATCGTTCTCAGGAACATCAACGTTGCGACTCTTGTGAATGCGATGTAGCATGTTTGGCCGCTCAAGTGTAAACAAATACGGTGGTGCAGATGCTCTTCATGGCCCGCTAGACTACGGTATTGGCTAGGCGGGGCGCCTCTTGACTTAGGTAAGGTAGAGTACCTGAATAGAGATCGGACAAGTCGGGTGATTGTAGCTTCCCGCAAGCCCCATTGCCGAAAGACTGTGCCTACCCGTTCGTATGGATGCGCCGAAACCAACCATCCCATCCTATCTCGTCCCTGTTATCTCCAATTTCCAGCGGTTGGTTCCGCTCTTCCACGAGGCCAACGACTTCCACTTGCTTAGTTCCCGCAAGCCGGAGCAAGCCGTGAATCTAATGAGCTATGTATCTATTCTATCTAATAGTGACGATATCCCTTTCCCCTCCTCACCTTCCACGACTCACTCAACCGAAGCCAGCATCCCCCTGGCTTCTGACTCGTGCCGGTCGCTTGAAACTTGATTCCGAGCATCGACATGCATCATCTTCCCCCATCATGGCTCCATTGCAAGTGTAAAAGTCCCTCGATGCCTGAAATTTGCCGCGCCCTCGCTCGTGCATAAGGGCTCATGGTGCTCCCGAAAGACAGTGACAAGGCGCCAATTGATTGGGCCTTAAGATCTTCATTTCTCGCCCCGTTTTTGGACGCTTTGACCGCGCATCAATATCCATCACGAACCATCCTTCAGAAGCGATGGCCAGACCCCGATGTGCCCTGACCAATCCCTCACCAGATGTCAGACATTTCCTGTCAAGCATGAAAGGTGCACGGCCGCCATGGCTCAAGCACTTGGGTCTGAAAACGGTCACGTGCCGCACTTGTGTGGGGATGGCCTCGCCTGTCCTCAAGTATCCCCTAATTCACGGTGGATGAATCCCACCATCGCCCTTTAGGCCCATATCGGTACCCCATAGTTCAACACGACGATCGTCTGCTGGAAGAAATGACAGTACCTGAGTAAAGTCGGCGGGTCGCCGCGCTCTACACCCGGATGTTATGTGGGAGGTCGCCGAAAGCGAGCTAGTCTAGATCTCGGCCGTTCTTCGAAACATCTTCTACGCTATTTCTAGTGAACTGGCCCGCTCGACAGCCCCGGTTTGCTGCCTCGTAATGCATCTTAGACGGAGTGCGACTGCGACAGATGTGAGGCTTTCGAGCCATGTAGAAGTATCAGGACCAGTTTGATCAATGTGAAAGCAAACGGTCTACTGTTGACTAGGAGTAGAAAGAAGGAGCAAAATCAACTCCTGGCTATTTTCCTGCTTTACGCAATAGAACCCCCCGATTCTCCCAAGGAGAACTCCGCTTCGCATGACCGGTCTACACTTAAATTCGAGTATTAGCGAGACGAAGGACCCCCAGAGATGGAGAAGATCATCATGTTCTGCACATTCGAGGAAAACAGCTGTTCGGTTTCCAAGAAGCCGACGGCGTCCCCGTAGCAGCTCCATTCTGCCTCTCACGGAGGAGGGCGATGATTCCCTAATCAGCATCAATCCGCCAAGTCTCCTACCTTCCCGACCCATTGTTTAGCGGACGGCAGATCTTCTTCGCATGATCGCTGGCGGCCTAATGGTAAGTGGGAGCGCAGGGAGCTTCATGCGACTTCCCTTGTTGGTCAAGGGTGCATTTCTCAGCCTCGCGACTATCCTGGATCGTAACGCAGCACTTCTGCGACTTACGACTCCTCGAACAGACTAGAAACCCTTTCACGCAAATATTTTGAACTTAATCTACTTTAGTGAGACCATTGGCGAGCTGTGGTTCCGAGAATATCGACAGTGCGGTCCCCAATGCGTATTAGGATCGAAGCCAGCGTTGCTTTTTCCAGGATCGCGGCAGAGGAAACGGAATAAGGTCCGTCAATTGTGGCTTTGGTTCAGGCAATTCGTTACCGCCTCCCAACACTACCACCACCCTTCCCATATAATTACCACTGATTATTTAGCCAAGGATTGAACGATTGGAAGGGCTTCGTGTATCGGGATCAGAGCAGAGAATGGCCGCTGCTTACCCCAATGCGTTTGCGGCGTTCGCTGTGATCGCAAATTAAATCCAAGTTGAGCTCTAATGTAGGCTCTCTGTAAGCTCGTCCGGTGGTCCGAGCTCTGTTCGTCTCAGTGTGGGCATTCAAGCCCATGCCCAAAGATGTCAAAGGCTCCCCCGGTTATGAACGGCATGGACGGTGGTTTCAGGTCGCTTCCATCCTTCCAAGTGGGAAGCGAATCCCAGCCCACCATGTCTATGACGATTTCCT